ACCCCACAATGGAATGCAGGTGTGTAAGTACTCTTGGAGCCATTCTTGTTTAAACTACCCCTCCCTCCTCACCAAGAGACACTAGAGGTCTTTCTCTCAGGGACATGAGTGTTCACTTCCCATCCCTGCAAGAAAGGCAAGTTGAAGAAAAACTCTAGGAATGGGATCATAAAACAAGGCACCTGAAACTTTACCTAAATATACTTTTGTTTCACTTCTGTCAATACTTCTTGGTGATATATGTATTTTAACCTGCTTTTTCTTCTGCTTTCAGAATTCTATCTCCCTGAATAATATAAAAGAGCCTGGCCAGTAAAGAGAGGCACTGCAGCTTGGTGGAAAGTTCTTTTTGAACATCCACCACTATAGTCTGGGAAATAAAGACTTCAATATTCTAACTGGACATTGTAGTGGTCTTCTTTTATCCGAACCCACAACATACTGAAGTAAAAGAACTGAGGGAAACTTTCAAGGGGAATTTCAAAAAGACAAAATAAAGGATTATAATAAAATGTGCTCAGACTTGGAGTTAGAGACCAAAAGAGAAGAACATGCTCAGCATTTCTCTAGTGGAAAAAAAATGTAAAAAACAAACAAACAAAAAAAATCAAGTCCCAAGTTGCAATATTGAAGGATATTATGGACAAAATTAATATTGACTTCTTTGTCTAAAAAGATGAAGGGGAATACACAGAGTCACTGTACCAAAAAGAATCAACAGGTGCAATCCTGCCATGACTATGATCTGCAAATAGATGCACGGATAGACATGCAGGCTGAACAAATGTTGGCGGGAGAATGGAAAGAGACCCACAAGTATACATTGGTTGGATAGAAGACATTTATAAATACATTTGCCTTTACTGAAAATATGTCTGTGAATGTGGTGAGGCCTACAGGGGACAAAATTACAAAATCTCCTCAGATAAAACTAAACATCATGAGGGAAGGGCCTAGGGGCTCAGGGCCAATGTCAATTAGAATAACATAGTTATCAAAGACATTGATCTGCACTCTGCTTTGGGAAGTAGCACCTAGGGTCTTAAAAGCTCGTGGGCAGCCATCTGAGATGCCGCCTCATCTGGAGAAAAGAAGAGTGATGAACACTGAAAGACACATGGTAACAATTAGTAAAACAGACTAATGGATCGCCAAATATCAGTCTCCACAACCCTAAAACCAAAAGAGTTAGATAGTGTCTGGCTACTACTACTAAGTTCCCTGAAAAGAATCACATTAGATCCTGGAAGAATGGGAGACAATGTAGGAAAAATTCAAAATATAAAATAGACCAAGCTTACTGTTCAGGTAGAGACTGGAAGAACTCCTGAGACAATAGCCCTTAGTCACCCTTCCAGTCTGGAACTAAGCTTATCCTTCTGTCTCAGCTTTCAGCCAAGCAATAGACAGGCCTATGGGGGGAACAACAGCACACTACCGAGGTGTGCACACCTTAGAATAATCAACCTTTTAAGATCAGAAGGGCAGCACTAACCACAG